ATATTACCATATATATTTTTATGAAAAATATATATTTGTTATATATGAATAAAAATATATATTTGTTAAAACATAAATAATTAAGAGTACAAATTAATATAACCTAACCTAACCTAATCCAACTTTTAATACTATATACTGGCGACATTCTATGGATATACCAGAGAATATTCATAGAATGTACTACTATATACTACCCACTCGGCATGTAATATTTCTGATACATTGCTGCAATATTCCATTTGAAATATTACACCTTTTAACAATATTACAGAAATATTTCACGACCGTTTCTGCAACATTTCTGCAATGTTTCAATGTCCGCAATCATTTCAAATGCAACCTTGCTAAAAGATTTCAGCAATATTTCGGTAATATTACTGAAATATTTCTGAAACATATCCCAAGTAGCAAACTGACGTCATAATGACGGTAAATTTTGGTCACAAATTGGCCACTTAGACATCCTAAGTTAGGTCTCATGAGACCCGAAAATGATGTCGATATGTCACATCCACGAGACGTCATTTTCTGTTTGTTTGACGGCAAAACTAAAATCAATTACACAAATATTATTAAATTAATAATATATAATAACACACATTAATGTGATATATATTATAGATAAATTTAAATAATTTAATTTATAAAATTAAAGATTTTATTTATATGGAAGTTAATTTCTGTTTTATATTTTAAGCAGATAATAACGAACGATTTTCATTGATTCGGACAGAAATTGTCCGAATAAGTGAAAATCGGACATTTATTTGACCGATTTTCTAAAAATCAGTTCAATATCTGATTTTCCCGGTATGGAAATCGCATCAGAAATTAAACTGATAAAAATAATTACAATATTATTAATCGCATTTTGCAGGCTTTATATACGCTCATGACAAAAATTTTAATACGGGTTAGGTTAGGTTATAAGGCGGGTAAATCCCGGATTTAAGGCGGGAAGAGGCACGAACCAAGCATCCATCTCTTCCGTGGCAGCGGCACTGTCGTGTCTGTGTAGGGCGTTTACACACTTCCTCAGCCCGACAAATAATTGTTAGAAAACAACATTTGCGGGTCTGAAAAAATATGCGAGGTACTAGTGGCTAAATCGGGAATCGAACCCGAGTCTTTCGCTTTCCGGGCAACTGCTCTTACCACTGAGCTATTCAGACCTCGCACCTTACGCCACTCTAACACAGTACATACGACTCCAGAGCGATGTTGGAATCTCGCTCAATGGATGCAGTGCCGATTGCCACGGAGAGACGACATCCCCAGCACGTCTCCAGAGCGGTCCAATCATATTAAACGATTGAAAATTGGCCCCCGTAGCCGCTCAGCGATGAGTCTTGATTCTTTACCAGTATGAATGGAAGCCTCCTCGAGTAGTCCATCCTAAAGATAGTGAATAGCGCACCGCATAGCGGTAAGCAAATAAACTATAACCTTAATACTAATTACAAAAGGACTTTCTGAAAGATTTCAGAAATATTGCAAATGCAATATTTTAAAAAACATGATGCACGTACATTTCTGAAATATTTCGAATGCAAAGTTACAATTGAGATATATATTCACTTTATTGATTCCCCTTAGGGTTACAATTTCCATATAATAATCCACCATACCTTCCTTTCCTCATCCACTTTACATCACCTCCTTCTTATACATTCTCTTACATCCTTTACAAATTCTCCACTCTTCACTCCTTTCCTCTCACTCCTTTCTTTTCAACTCACTTCTTTCTTTCCAAACTCACATACCTAGTTTCTACAGCCCCTACCTTCCCTTTCTCTCTACTCTTACCGCTATCTTAAATCTACGTATATCTCCTAACCCTTTTCTTCTACCCTGTTTTAATCTACCCTCCTCTTTTCTCCCACTCTCTCCTCCACACCCCTTATCTTTGCCCTTCTTCGTAATACCTCCTCTATCATTCCCTTTACTTCCCTCCTTCTCTCCTCCGGTTCTTCTCCTTTCACTTCTCTCCATACCATGCTTCTTGTTCTTCTTTCTCCTCTTCACTTTCCTCTTCTTGCGACACCGTTGTTTCCTCCTCCTTTTCTCTCCTTCCTCTCGCTCTCTCTTCTCTCCATAATTTTAGTTCCTTCCTTATTCCCCTTACCTCCACCACCAGCTCCTTAAACCACTTTTCCATGTCCTCCATCTATTTTTCTTTCCTCCCTTTTTCTTTCCCAGCCTTCTTACTTCTCTCTCTTTCTTTCTTCCCTCTCACTTTCTCTTCCACCTTTATCTCCTTCCTTCTCTTTCCTTCCTGTCCTCTTCCGTTCTTCTCACTCGCTTTCTTATCACTTAACCTCACTTTCCTCTTCCACCATTATGCTCGATCCTAGTTCCTTACCTACACTCGGCGCCACCTCTCGGATTTTCTCATTCAACTCTCCTCGATCCTTTGTGCCCTATCTTATCTAACTTTCCTCTTTCTTATCGATCTCTCGTCCTTTCTCTTCCTCTTAGCCTTTCTCCTTCTATCCATCTTCTCTCTATTTTTTCTTCCTTCTAACCTTCAAAACTGCTACACTCCCTTGTATCCTTCTTTCTTCTATAATCATCCTTCCACTTTGTTCCCTTCACTCACAACTGCTCCTCCCTTTCCACTCTTCTTACTCCTTTTCTCCGCTTCAACTCCTTCCTCTCTACACCAACTTCCCTCGCCTCTCCCTA